ACCACACAACAGGCAGGCATGGAGAAGTTACTGGCATCCACTCTAATTAATCGATGAATAAAGGGGAATCAAGTGATATATTTTTTAGGTTTTATTATTACTGCTTTTATGCAGCAACACGGTTGAAACTGGAAGATACCATCTTGAGTGAAGTTAGCCAGAAAATGAAACAAAAACAGGATGATGTTCACTCATCTGTGGAATACCGAACACGGGATGTGGAAATGTACTGTAAAGGGGCTGCTTAAATCATCCCTGATTCCAGTGTTTAGAGAGAAGCCGGACAAAGAAGGAAAGAAATTTGGGGAGGAAGAGAGCCAGAAGTTTACAGGGATCAGGGATTAATTTATGCCAGTGACATGAGTGAGGGATGTAGCCATTTACCCAAAACACAGATGCAACAGAACTGAAAACAAGAGATCTAAGCTGTGACCACTGAAACCTACTCATGTGCTTGTCCAGATGACAGGCAAGGGTAGAGTGGGGACTGGGGTGGGGACGGAATATGGGAACACGGGTGGAGGGAAGCTGATGCAGGGATTGGCGTTCAATTATTGTACGCCTAAATACAACTATCAATAACTTTGAAAATACTGGCACTTTAATGAAAACTTTAAAAAACAATACAATAAAATAAATTTCCATATTTCAGGACCCACTGAGGTTAAAGACCCTCTAGTCCCAGCATTAGGCTCTGATATTTTTCCCGTGAAGCTGAGACCATAGATGTGGTTGTGGGGATGGAGGAGCTCAGCAATCCCCCAAAAAATCCTTTTGGATTTTGCTTTTAATCAGACCCAGTGATGCTTGGGATACCATAGGGGATGCTGGACATCGAAGGTAGGCGGCATCTGTAAGGCGAGCACCCACCGTGATGCACTGCTGTTCTGGTCCGACTTAACTTCACTATGGGCTCACAGTGACAATTTAGCATACACACAATAAAACATTTTTTGGTGCGTACAAGCGTACAGCAGGTATGCATTTGCCTTGCATGAGATTGACAGGGGTTGATCCTTGAACACTGCCAAAAGCAACTTACAAGAACCACCAGCAATAACTGCTGAGCATCCCCAGGACCCAAAACAAAAGAAAACTAAATTTCTTCCCATATTCAAAAAACCAAGGCAATGATCCAAAGGCCAAGATATGCAAGGTGTCACATTGACTGAGCGGAGTCCAGAAAGAGCACCCAACCCTTTAGGTGAAAATTCAGGCTTGTTTTACAGCCGGGAAAACAAGGGCCTTGAAACACATGGACTACTCGACATACCTGAGAGATGAGGAAGAATGACAACCAAGTCAAGAGGGCAAACACAGGATCTCTCCGTAATGAACAACTCCAGGGAGAAGACACCCCTACCCCATGCCACACCCCCACATAATATGTTCTAGGAATGAGAAGGGGACACTCAATGTCCAATGATTAACTCAAAGATGTGGACTGGAGGACTCCTGTGTTGGCCACATGCAAGGCAAGCATCCTACTTGCTCTACAATTGCTCTGGCCATTTCTAAATAAATGGGAGAAAACGGGAAAAAATGGGAGAGCAATTGCAAAACTTTCAGGTTTAAGTATCGGTCATACAATGAAACACCCGTCCCTTCACCGTGCCCATTTTACACCAGTAAAAACCCAAGTATACCGCCATTTCACAGCCTCCTCCTACCTGTGGGGCGGATAATTTCCACATTCTTCTCTCTACTTTGATTACATTCAAAATTTGGCTCAAGACCCACCATTATTATTTGGGATTTTACCCCAGCACTCAGATCTGGCAAAAGCACAACAGTAGACAATCCTTTTTCGATTGCTGGTTATAAATAACATATGATTTTGGAATTCTGAAATTTTAACAACTAAATCTGGAGGGATTTCTGCCAAAACCTGCTGGGTTCCGAGATTTGTTCCTGAGTCTGTGGGATTATGGCCATTAAACTGCTTTATCAAGAGCCAGAGAGGTGGTTCGTGGGAATGACTTAGGCTCTTGTTGGGGTGGGGAGGAATTGACCAGCTCCACCCCATCCTGAGAGGCCCCACGTATCTTCGTGAGTGTGGGCCCAAACCAGACTTTCCAAAGGCCTTTGGAGGATGGAGGCCACCAAGCCGACAAGGGGGAGCAGTTGGAGGGACAGCACCAATTCCCCCTGGGGTGGATCTGGGACAGTAACCTACTGCAGGGTCCAGAGACATTTCTGATAAAAGGCGCTGGGTTTCGAGATTTGTCTCTGAATCTCTGGGATCATGGTCATTACGTACCTTGATCACAAGCCACAGAGGTCAATCGTAGGTGCCAGACAACCCGGGGTTTTATTTGGGGTGGGGAAAAAAGGGCCGGGTCCACCACCATCCTGTTAGGCCCTGCATGTCTCCTTACTGCAGTCCCAAACCTAACTGTGCAGAAGCCCTTAGAGATGGCGGCCACTGAACCGCCAGGCATGAAACCTATTGCCACCTGAAATACCCAGCTTTGGTAACCTACTGTGGGGACCAGACACATTTTGCTGAAAGCTGCTGGGTTCCGAGATTTGTTTCTGAGACTCTGGGATCATGGCCGAGTGATCAAGAGCCAGAGAGTCCGTACATGGGCAGCGACTCGGGGTCTCATTGAGATGGGGAGGAAAGGGCAGAGTCCACCCCAATCCCATGAGACCCCGCATGTCTTGTCACTGCAGGCCCAAACCTGTCTGTCCAATGGCCTCTGGGAGATGGTGGCCACCGAGCCACCAAGTGGGATCAGGCAGAGACACACACCCTTCCCCCCTTGTGGTGGTCTGTCGCCGGTAGCTCATTGCTGGAACCGGGCGCATCTCTGCAAAAAGCAGCTAGGTTCCAAGATTTGTCTCTGAGTCTTTGGGATCATAACCTTTAAGCAGTTTCATCAGGAACCAGAGAGACCTTGCCTCCAATTATATAGCTGAGCTGGAAATGGTTTGTTGGTGTGTCTCGCACATACCTAACTTTTGGCCGTTTACTTTCTTGGGAGACTTTGTCCAAAGTTTTTGGAGTCTGGCAAAAGGTACAGCAGCAATTTTGGAGTATCTGGAAGTCTGATGGTGCCATCAGGCTGCTGATGCACTCAACTTACAGGCACAGATTGACCTGCTGGCGGTACCATACTCCCGGGAAGTAGAAATTCTATATATGGAGAAAAAACACCAATAGTGGGGTTGGACTCACTGTGAAGCGACTAGGATGCTTGCCTTGCTGATCCAGGACAAACCTCCCCATCCCATAGGTACCCAGTAGCACCACAGAATAATTCCTGAGATTCACAACCAGAAGTAAACCTTGAGCATCAAAGAATCCCTTCCAACTACCCTGAATAAAAGCAGCTATTAAAATTAATCCAAAGAGGGGCTGAAGTGATAGCAGAGCGGGTAGGACATTTGACTTGCACGTGACCAACCCAATTCAAATTTCAGCAACAATATGGTCCCCTGAGCTTTACCAGGAGTAATTCCTGAGTGCATAAGTCGGGAGAAACCCATGTGAAACACTGAGTGTGACCCAAAAAGCAAAAAAAAAATAAATAAAATAACCCAAAGAGTAAATTTTCAGAGGAAAATACCTCCCACTTGTCCAAACACACGCCAAAGTCCCAAACCCAGCACTGAAGCCAATGAAAATGACCGATGGCAAAAATGTCCCTTTCTTGTGGGGGCTTCCCGTGAACATATCTGGAGCTTCGATAAGTGTTATGTCCAGTCCAAAGGCTCCAAACAGGGTCCTTCGCAGTCTCGAGTAGGGAGGAATGAAATCGCAAAGACCCCCCACTCTCTGCAGGCTCCTCACACCAAGGCCTGAAGTCCATGTGCCCACCGTCCCAGTGCCATCTTGGACCTGGATGTGATCGTGGCTGCAGGGGCCCTCAGGAAAACGCACTCTCACCCATGACACCTGAGCCACAGAACAGCCTCCAATGCATCCCTAAAAAGCTCCACATCCACTAAAGCCTGGATATCCAGAACAAGTAAGAAACAAACGTGAATGCACGATACAAGTAGGCATGACCTGACGCTCTGTTTCCCAAACCGGGATTTGCAGGGTGCTGAAGCATTCCAAATCCTAACCCAGGGAAGACTGAAGAATGAAGGTTTACCTGTTTTTCCATTTTCAAAGTATTCAATGCTGCATCTTGGTTGATTTCTGCCATAATTCCCGCTAACCAGCCCCTCTGGGCCAAGCCGGAAGCATAGCAAACAATAACAGAGTAGTGAGACATGACAGCTCTTAGCAGGAAGGTGTTTCTGTACCTGTTTATTCAGTCACCTTCCTCCTTATTTTCATCACCACGACCCATTATTTACAAGTTAACACACAAGCAAATCCAAGCACAAGAATACTGGCATAGGTGCAGTCCGGGTGAAAATCAGCAGGCTTCAGCAAAGGACTTCCCACATTCCATACAAATATACGGTTTCTCTCCACTGTGAATTCTCCTATGTACAGTCAATTGTGAGGATGAAGTAAAGGCCTTCCCGCACTCCACACATATCTAAGGTTTCTCACCATTATGAATTCTCATGTGTAGAGTAAGAGAATAGAACCGTGTGAATGACTTCCTACATGTCCGACACTGATGAGGTTTCACTCTGAGATGAATTTTCATATGTGAACTAAGTCTTGAGGCTCCAATAAAGGCCTTTCCACATTGCTTACATATATATGGTTTCTCTCCAGTGTGAATTCTCCTATGTACACGAAGTGTTGAGGCTTCAGCAAAGGCCTTCCCACATTCCTTACATATATACGGTTTCTCTCCAGTGTGAATTCTCCTATGTGCAGTCAATCGTGGGGATGAAGTAAAGGCCTTTCCGCATTCCTTACATATATATGGTTTGTCTCCAGTGTGAATTCTCCTATGTACCCTAAGGTTTGAGGCTCCAGCAAAGGACTTTCCACATTCCTTACATATATACGGTTTCTCTCCAGTGTGAATTCTCCTATGTGCACTAAGACTTGAGGCCAAAGTAAAGGCCTTTCCACATTCCTTACATACATAGGGTCTCTCTCCAGTGTGAATTTTCCGATGTTCACTAAGTCTTGAGGCCAAAGTAAAGGCCTTTCCACATTCCTTACATATATACGGTTTTACTCCAGTGTGAATTCTACTATGTACACTAAGTCTTGAGGCGTCAGCAAAGGTATTTCCACATTCCTTACATATATACGGTTTCACCCCAGTGTGAATTTTCCTATGTAAACTAAGTCGTGAGGCTACAGCAAAGGCCTTTCCACATTCCTTACATATATATGGTTTCTCTCCAGTGTGAATTCTCCTATGTATACTACGGCTTGAGGATTCAGTAAAGGCCTTCCCACATTCCTTACATATATACGGTTTCTCTCCAGTGTGAATTCTCCTATGTATAGTAAGTCTTGAGGCTCTAGCAAAGGCCTTTCCACATTCCTTACATATATACGGTTTCTCTCCAGTGTGAATTCTTCTATGTATAGTAAGTCTTGAGGGTCTATCAAAGGCCTTTCCACATTCCTTACATATATACGGTTTCTCTCCAGTGTGAATAAATGCATGTTTATTGAGGCTTGACGACTGAGTAAAGGCCTTGCCACACACCTGACATATATAAGGCTTCTCTCCACTATGAGTTTTCATAGGTCTGTTAAGACTAGAGGTCTGAATAAAGGCCTTCCCACATGTCTGACATTCATGAGTTTTTTCTCCTGTATGAATTCTCCTATGCATAATAAGATGTGATGATTCATCGAAGGCCTTCCTACATGCTTCACATGAAAAAGGTTTCACTCCTGAATTTATATTCATATGGTCATGATGGAATAACCCTTGACTCACTCTTTGTTCTCCGGGCTGACTTTTCTGGGGATTCTGTCCACTGTGGTTTTCTAAGGGAACACCACAGTGCTGAAAACATGGGGAGGCTCCCCCACATTCCTTATATGTAGATAGGTTCTGCTCACGGTAACTGTGGTTGACGGTATGTTGCTGTGAGGGACTCACTATAAACAGTGCTCCTTTCCATAGCAAGTGCCCCACTGGGGAATTTTGTGTCTGTGAACTGAGAATAACACACTCCAAGGAACTTTTTCCAGGAGAGGGCTTCTTCAGAGTGAGGTAGCTCTCGCCATTCTGATCACCCTCAGAAGACATCCCGCCTGTCTCGGGGTCCTCATGGGGCTGAGGGCAGGACTGCTCTCTCGAGACATTATCATACAGTGCAGGATCAGAGACATTCCACTCCGGGTGGCAGCTTTCCTGTAGAACAACAGAGGATTCTAATTATTGACTAATTCACTGAGTCTTCCTGTCAAAAATCTGAGCCCTTCAGATGTGGTTTTGATGCACCGCACAAATGCTATTACTGACATATGAATTGTCTTACTATTGAATAACTTCATGTTACTGTAAGTTGGACGCACAAAATTGATGGATATAGAGTCAGTAAATTCTGTGACTTCCTCCCCTTTAAATTAATGAAGGAATACAACTGGAAACAATTCCTTCTATAGAAAACGGATGCATCCATTTCAAGAGAAAATGAAATACATCCACATGTGGGTTTGGTTAAAGCTCAGTGTGGAACCTGTGATGCAGGGGTGAAGACAACGCTGCATCGTCCCACAGCTGAGACAGACCACGTGGCCATTGCAAAGCTCTCACCACAAGTGATGGCTTTCAGGATCAATGAAGTTTTTTTCCTTTGTTTTGTAGTTTCTATTTATTGGGGGTTGGGTGAGTGGAGGGGCACACCATGCAGTGTCCAGGATCAGTTTTGTCGGTCTATGCTGTCTATAAGGTGTGCTGGGTAAGGAACATCCGTCCATGTGCAAAGCAATTATATTTCTCACTGCACCATCTCTAGGGCGCAGAAATTAGCTTTCTAAACAACAACCACTGTCAAGCAAATCAAAACTCACAGTATTTTTAAACATGGTTGATTTCAGCACCTAGTGAAGCTAAGGGTCCTCTACGCCAAGCATCAGGCTTTGGAAGTCCTCCCTGCAATTCCCAGCCTTCCACCTTAACAATCACATACTTGGTCCACTCCTGCTGGCATAATAATATTTATTCTGAATTAGCGAATCTTACCAACTCACTCGTACTTGCGGACCCCATTCCCAAATCAAAGTGCTGTAATGCCAAATCCTGAAGCCGCGGTTTCAGTTCTGAAACTGAACAAAACATGCAATTCAAGCACTTGTCAAAAAATGTAGCAAAATGATGCCATGTAGTTAAGAGTACATCTCTGTGGTTCTCAAATTCCAAAGAGTCCCACACTAAAGAAAAGATTCGGATAGTGGAAAACTGTGAGGATCTTGGCAATTCTTCACTAGGTATTGTTTTTGTTTTTGAGCAGACCTGGTAATGTTCGGAGAACCAGGTTATTGAACACATTATTGAACAGATCACCTTCAGGCACTGCAAGGCATTCCCTGCTGTACTATCGTTCAGATCCAAACTAGCTCTGTTATGGTCTTACTTATTCGAAAGCCATGGAAGCAAATTACAGGATCATTCTGTGACTGACATTCCAGGGGAATGAAGAGGAGTGTGTATGCGGGACAGAACCAAGGATTCAGGAGACCAGGGCCCCGATCTCAGAGGCGTGTTTCATACATGCTCAGGACACCCATACACTGCACAGGGCCTGAGCCAGGAAGGGTCCTCAGACACTCACCTGCACACATGCCTCTCCTCCCCGACCTCAGGGCTCCTCCTTCCAGCCAGGAGATCACCGCAGGCTTCATCCCAGAGTGCCCTACCCCGACAGAGACAGAGGCATGGATAAGTGACAGGGAAAAGGTGAAAGGTAAATCCCCATGTTTTCCTGATATAACTTGGCAAATATATGAAAGACATGAACAGAATGTCCATTTCCAAAATGCCACATATTTCTAGTTATTCAAGAGTTAAGACCCAAGAAAATATCACAAATACTCTAGACCTGGCCTTGTGTATGGCGGACAGGGGGTTGCTCAGCACAATATGTTGTTGGTTTTTGTTTTGTTTGGGGTCTCACCTGGCAATGCTCAGGGGTGACTCCTGACTCTGTATTCAAAAATCACTGCTGCTGGTGTTCGGGAATGACATGGGTTGCCGGGGATTTAACCAAGTGCGCCGCTTGCAAGAAAATCACTTTCCTCCCTGTATTGTCTTTCTAGGCCCAGCAGCACATGGAGTTTCCTGAGCCCCTCATGAACTAATCAAGGAATTCAGTAAAACTAAGTGCATAATAAATCTGGAAATGGCTAAGGGTGGCAAGAGACCCTTATTTTTTAAAGCTAAAAACTGTATCCAGAAAGAGAGTAGAGCAGGAGTTTCTCACGGACCAGGTATGATACCCAATATCTCATAGGGTCCCTCATGCCAGTCAGGAGAGATCCCTGAGTGCATAATCCAGGAGCAAACCCTAAGTCCTGCTGAAGTCTCACAAGAACCATTAGAAGTAAATCAAAGCACTGAAATAGGGCAGCGTCTAATGAGTTGAGAGACGAGATATCAAATCCCCTGTGGTGGGAGAGAGATAGTACAGCACATAGGACAGAACCGATACACACACATGTGGGTTTGATCCCTGGCAGCCCATATGGTCTTGGAGCAAGGCCAGGTATGGATCCTGAATACACAGGCAGGAATAATTCCTAATCCCTAAGGAAAAAATTAAATGCAAAAACAGTTGTGTGACTGGTGCAAAAGTACTGGGGGTGAGGCACCAACATTTTAAATTACCAAGAGGTTTCAGTCCACGGTACCTCATGGCCCCTGAGCAGTCTTAGCAGTCATCCCTTAGCACAGAGTCACGAGAACTGTGGACTGTGCCCCCAAACAAAGGCAACAGCAAAACCAATTAAACATACAAAAGTTCATGTAGTATACAAAGTAAATTGATTCACCAATGGATGGATCTATTTAAAAGGACCTGAGCGATAAATGGGATAGGGATCTTCCCATGGACACAGTCGAAATGGATTGATCTGAATCACTCCATAGGTTCCGGCTACCCCACACGAGTAATTCCTGAGGACAAAGCTGACAGTAAGCCCTGAGTATCCACAGGTGAACCCAAAAAAAACACGAGGGAGGGAAGAGCTACTGCATGGCTGTCCAATATCCCAGCCCGTCACAGAGCTACTGTTGGACACACAGCTGCCACCCAGGAAGCCCTCGCAGGTCTGTTCAGACATGGTTGGCTCCACACTGCTCTCACCGACAGCCTGCAGATGCTGGTAGGTCTCCAGCATCACGTCCCTGTACAGCTTCCGCTGAGAGGCCTTCAGGCATGACCATTCCTCCAGGGTGAAGTTCACAGTCACGTCATTGAAGGTCACGACATCCTGAGTCAGCACACGGAGAGGGTGGGAGTCAGAGTATATCTTAGCCTCATTCCCACTACTCTGATGCCAGGACCCAGGGTCCTATATTGTCGCTGGGCCTCTCCCCTCCGAATGAACCAGCCTCCATGCACACGCATGGCTGACGGGCCCCAGAAATCACATAAGGCAGCTGGATCTGCTAAAGTGGGAGGACGTTATACAGAAGGTTCTTGGATGTATCTGCCTTTCCTGGTAACCCCAGGGCCAATTCGAGCACCACTGGTCTAGTGAGCACTGTAGAGAGGATCACCTGAACACAGACTTGTACGATCCAAAACACTATCCCTGGGTGTAGCAAAAACCACTGCATGCTCACCGCTGCACCCCCAAAGCACATGGCCACTAGGATTGAGAACGTGAAGTCCATATAGACAATTACTCAGAGCAGTGCATGCCATGTGTGCCTGTAGGAACTCACTGCTCAGGACCGCCCCAAATCCCGCTCAAAGAATGTAGAAGTTTCTTTACCCCAGCATCTCTACTGGCCTCAGAGATCCTTGTCTCTTTCTCCTTGGGATCGGCGCATGACCAGAAATCAACACACAAGAATATGTGGACGTAAGACTATATGACCGAGCAGGTAGTCTCTCAAAAGTAGGAAGGACAAAACAGGAGAAAAGCAAGTCTGGGGGCCCAAGTCACTGTAGTTGTCAGGGCGCAAACGGGGCCAACACACCCCAGGGTGCTCTGAGGCCCGTCACTTGTGAATCCAGAGCACAGAGTCAAAAGGACAGTTGATGACAAAAACAATGCAAAAGAAGCCGAAGCAGCAGGTTGGCGTAACAGGACAGCTGTTCCGGGGACAGCATGTGGGACTGGTGATCCCCAACATCCCATATGGTCCCACAAGCACTGCCAGGGGCAATGCCAGAGTGCAGCACAAGGAATGATTGTGAGAATCGTTGCTCTGCCATCCCTAATAAAACAGAAAACCCAAGATGAAACCTTTGGACCTCCAGCATCCCATTGGTCACCTAGACCTGTCAGGAATGAGCATTGAGCACTGAGCTTTGAGTACTCCTCATGCACCACTGGTTTGGCCCCAAAGCCAAATAAAACAAAACAAACATACACAAAAGCAGCTTCAAACAGCAGAATGGGACGATCCGATCGGAAGTCTCATCTTGGAATCCGTCCAAAAGAAACTCAAAACAGAAGGCCCAGGAAGCCTGGGCACTCCTGGTACTCATGTCATTCTATCCCTCTACTCCTACCTGGGGACGGTTTATCAGAAGCCGTGTCACCATCTTCTACTGTCACTACTGTCACCATCTTCTACTGTCACTGTTGTTCTGAGTATCAGCAGGAGGCTCCAGGTGTTGTCTGCTCAGA